GAGAGAGAGAGAGAGAGAGAGAGAGAGAGAGAGAGAGAGAGAGAGAGAGAGAGAGAGAGTTGAGTCGTGTCCAGTGTTGCCACAGTTAAGGATGAAGACTCGATGGCTGGCAGTAACCAAAATCCCAGTGCAGTCATCGATCACTGTGTGTTAGTATATATCCAGGGATTTAAACAATCATCAAAAGCATTACAAAAATGACATCATATATGTGTCGTTATCTCTATCCCTGTGCTGGCACTTCATGTAACTTCTCTCTCTCTCTCTCTCTCTCTCTCTCTCTCTCTCCGCCCAGTTATATAATGTTTATAGTTTTGCATTCATATCACTGTATTGTGTGATATATTCAACACAATAATACGGCATTTCTATTACAATATATGAGATGTCTGTCCGTGTAATGCATACACAATGCCATTAGTGCACAGACTTTATAACCCATCGCCACTAAATATAAAGTAAATAATATCTGATATATAAATAAAATGAGAGAAAAGATAAGAAAAATAACTGAAGAATGAAAATAGAGAGAAAATCTCATACTTTTAAAATCAAACAAAGACTCGATTCTTGTTATTAGTGCTCAAAATCATATACTGACCGGAAAATGGATGGATTCCGGATTTTATGGCACAAAATATTTCTTTCGTTATTCAAGTAATTTCTATACAATTGTTTTTCAATGCATTTCTCTCTGAAAGTTATACATAACTCATATTATATGCGATTCTTTATTACGAAAACTATTTTACTTATACTTATTATATAATTTATATTTCATATTAATATCAAGTCATTTAATGTGTCGTTTGGCGACAGAGGACTTGTTTGTATGTGTTATATAATATACGCTACAGTTCTGTATGAATGTCATTGAGAGTACAATATAATAATATACATTTTCAAAGCCCATAATAGAGTGTATATTATTGAAAGTATAGACTATTTGTACCAGAGAGAGAGAGAGAGAGAGAGAGAGTTGAGTCGTGTCCAGTGTTGCCACAGTTAAGGATGAAGACTCGATGGCTGGCAGTAACCAAAATCCCAGTGCAGTCATCGATCACTGTGTGTTAGTATATATCCAGGGATTTAAACAATCATCAAAAGCATTACAAAAATGACATCATATATGTGTCGTTATCTCTATCCCTGTGCTGGCACTTCATGTAACTTCTCTCTCACACACACACTATATATACCCGGAGTCTGAATCTCGCCATAACTTTCAATTCATATTTATCGGAATCAAAAACTTTTATTTCGATCCCATCTCTCAATATACAGTATATACAGCACTGGTATATAAGACAGTGTTTTTGTGCAACGAATCAAACTTACATTTAAGGCTCTTTCGCTGCCAAAAGGATTATCGGCTGAGCTATGAGTTAATGCATTGCATCGCACACTAAACCCGGGGTATTGAACGCACGGGCATTACAGCCACTGGTTATATATCGCTATTAATCATAATCTATAACACGATATGAGATAACGGATCCGAAACATAAAAACCAAAATATATATAAAGATATAACTTATTTGGGATTACATTTACAATAATAAACTCGATTTCATAATCAATATAGCAATCAGTGAACAAACATTACACAATTTATTCCTTCATTAATATCGTATGTATTATTCACGTAAAAAATATAATTATTTTACACAATATTTAGAGAACAATCAAATCAACTGATAATTAAAATTGGATATAAAAAGCAATAGATATTTGAAAACATGAAATGTCTATCTAATGGTGGAGTGCTGTGAGAGCTCAACAGTCGTGAAATTGATGGGAAAGTCGAGTATAGAGACGATGGAGTTCTGGACCGGCGAATGGACTTTGATTTGCCGGATATGAGTGTCCCTTCCGTTCTGATGGTTGGACAGAACGGCGATCTGAATGAGAAACGCCCGAATCGGACAGTCGTTGGAGTCCTTTAACGGTATGACAACCCAACCGTTGGGTTCGCTCAGATCCATGAGCTCCACCTCTTGGAGGTCGTGGAAGTGGTTGCCGGCCCTCACGGAGATCCGGTTCGGTGTATACGACTCGTCCAGCTTATAGTCGGCGTATATACACACGTCCTGTATTGTCGTCTTGCGGCGGAACTGTATGTTCACGAGATGCGGCTGCGGGCCGTCCGACTGCCAGTACGTCTCCAGACAATTGTCCCGCAGCTGATCCACACCAAAGCCTATTAGCACACGAAGAGTACATTCATATATAGCTATGGTTTACATAATATATATCATTAAATGTTGGCAACCAATGAAACGGTGGGAATATTTAGCTATTGTTTTATGTGTTCATAAATTATAAGACCCTTTTGGTTACGGTATATATAAATGTGTATAAAATACTAGACATTAATATTCAAAATATTAATACAGGTATTATTGTGTATATAATGTATTATCCAATCATTACAATGTATGCCACAAATCACTCGTGGATTTCTCTCTCCACAGTCTGTTGTGTTGTTTTTTATGGCAAATAATTATATACTAAACAGTCGTATAAAATGACAGTTATTTTAATTAACATATAATTCATTGATAGCACTAATCGTTTGTCACTTTCGGCCGCAAATCACTACAACAAAACACATCACTTTCGGCGGCCACTCATTCGCGGCATTCATTGGACACCAAAAACGGCTTATAAAACAGACAATAAAAACAACACTAAAATAAAAAACATAAAAACAAAACAAAATTGAAAACACATTCACAACAAAACAATAGACACAAAGACATTGTCCGCCGATTTGGTGGACAACAAACCAAACAAAACACAGCATTGAATACAAGAGGGAGTGAATGGCAATCAAAACACATAGTAATAATGGGGGCGTTGGAGGGGGTGTGGGGTGTGTTGGGAGGGGTGAGGGGTTTGTAATGAATACCTGGTTTGCAGGAAGAGAGGGACCAAACGGCTTGAGAGCCGACTTCCCTCATGAGTCCGAGCTTTTCATCTTTGATGGGATCGCACTCTGGCTTCGCTTTGCCGGCCATTGACTGACCGCCCGATCCGGTCGTCCCCGCAGTCGACCCGCCCGTCGCTGTGCCCACTGTTGACGACTGGTTTGGCATCACTTCCCACACAACCACTCATACAATACACGAAACAAATTCAGTTCACAACAAAAAACACAATCAAATCAATGAATGAGTGAATGAATTGAAACGGTTTTGCGTTTATATTGTGTTTACAAAACATTCAATCGTTTGTATGGTTTGTGTCGAGCGCTCACTCAATGGCGACATCTATTGGTCACTGCATTTCAATTCTGGCATTCAATTCAATGCATCGTTTGTATCACATTCTGGATATTCTGTATGTTTTGTCTAACACTAAACTTACCATAAGTTATAATATAATATGAATTGTATTTTAATTGCAATTGTTTTCACTGTCCGCTCAGTCCTACACATCCCACACCATATTTACTGCCATTCCTACACATTATATGTATAATAAAGGGCTTGTGTTATGTAATAAACAAAGTTGTAATATCCGTTATCCCACGTACTTTTTTTGAAGCAAATAATGCATATTTTCAATGTTTTATTTGACATTTATTTTTTGTAGATTATTTTCCCACGAATTCATAAATATGTATAATATAAGCAGAATATTGTTTATATTAATGTTAATATATAAGTTATATAATATAACTTATAAGTCATAACAAATTTATTATCCATAGACTTCTACCCACACGTTGTGTCCGAAATTGGTTTAAATATTTAAAAAGTCACTTTTATTTGATCGGACACTATGAGTGAAAATATGTGTCAAATATTTGGACAACAAATATTAGAACTTAAAAAGTGTGGCTAAAAGTCAATCAATACATCTGTTATTCAATTACTTATACTGTATATAAAAAACTTACTTTACTTTTAGGTTCTCGTCTTACGAGACGTTTTGCTCTACTCTTTGTCAAACAATTTGTAGATTTTTGCAACAAATTTGTTATCCCTTTTGTTAGCCATTAAATTGATTGGTTGTGTGGACACACATTACAGACAGACAGAGGCGAAGGCATCGCTAAATTTGTTGATATCGGCAAAACTGCGGTCGATATTCATCGCCCAATCTATCGATAAATCAATTGCCAAATGTTTGCGTTGAGAGAGAAAACTGATTGTTTTCGCAGCGAATTATATGAAACACGAAATGGTTTTTGCAATAAAATTTCAAATCCTAATTATTACTCATAAAGACTTTAGTCTATTATTTATAGGACTCGTCAGTGTTTCCACATATCAAACAAGAAATGGGAAGTCTTTTTATCCCAACAATTTGTATAAATGATTATTGCCTTCAATACGAAAAATAAAGAAAGAGAGAGAGAGAGAGAGAGAGAGAGATCCATTGAATAAAAACAATAAAATAGTTATTCTGTAGCAAAACATGGGATTGAATACACAATACGTGAAGAACCGATACAAAATATATACGAATTTACATCATTTGTTGTACTTTCTCGCAAAAAACATCAATTTGTTTACAATGTATTTACAAAGAGATCCTTTTAGACCCAAATAAGGAAATATTTGATAAAATGTATTCACAAGAAAATGTGTTTTACATACAAAAAGATGAGATGAAACTTATCTGAAAAACATGGAGATATAGTATACATCGATCGCATGGTTTAAAATATAAATCTATAGTTTACTCTCTCCTCGGGTTTCCATTAACCCCTTAAAACCCCTTAAAATACAAGAGTTGTAGATCTTGTTGTGTTGCAGATGTCCTCTTCTCAGCCAATCTTTATTAATATCAATGGTTTTCAGTGTTTTTTCTATAACTCTCTCTCTCTCTCTCTCTCTTTATTTTTCGTATTGAAGGCAATAATCATTTATACAAATTGTTGGGATAAAAAGACTTCCCATTTCAAATATTGAATGAAAAATATAGAAAATAAATAAATAACAAACCATTTCGTGCAAAACACAATCAAAACAGCTCTCTCTCTCTCTCTCTCTCTCTCTCTCTCTCTCTCTATCGGTTAAATTGTGATAAATTTGAAAAAATAATCCAAAATATAAAAGCAAATCTTGAATTCCATTGGAAGTGAAAAGTATTTTTTGTTTCTTATTGTTATTTCGATATACAGTATAAACGGATGTAAAAAGAAATCATTTAATAAAAACGAATGATTGAAATTCAATAGTAGTATAAAAATTGAATGAATTGATAGATTAATGGTATTTTATGGGTATTAATAATTGAGTCCATTATTCACATAAAGTTTTTCAACACAAAAAATATTTTGCAAAAATTCATAGTTAAGAGTGAATTGAGATGAATGAGTGAATAGACGGCTAAAAGTGCTGCGCTTTTTGAATCAAATGTACAAAACGCTAATTAACGAAATGTATGCTTAAAATACGGCTCAAAACGCGATATATTAATCCTATTCAATGAACACATTGCGTGTCATTTGGTTTTATATATGTTTCTCACAATTGGATTGAGAGAGAGAGAGAGAGAGAGAGAGAGAGAGAGAGAGAGAGATGTTTTAGTGAATAATTCATAACAAAAGTCACTCTAATTCATGTTCAGTACTGTCTAATGACATCCAAATATAATTAAAACAATTTCCATTTGAGAAATACATATATATTTATTCTGTATGTGAATCTAGTAGTTGTGTTGTGTCTGTGAATGTCTGGTGAACACTGGCATCACTAGTAGTTTGTAAATATTTATACAAAAACGATAAATAACTATTTACTTAATATATTTGAAGTTGTGGTTGTGATGCACTTTTACATATGTTTGGTCCACAAAAATGCAGCGAAAAATCTCTTCCACTGATTTATCGCACAGACCTTTTGGTCGGCGATCCGCACACACCGTAACTTACAATACCATCTCATCTGCGGATAAATATTGAATGAAAAATATAGAAAATAAATAAATAACAAACCATTTCGTGCAAAACACAATCAAAACAGCTCTCTCTCTCTCTCTCTCTCGGTTAAATTGTGATAAATTTGAAAAAATAATCCAAAATATAAAAGCAAATCTTGAATTCCATTGGAAGTGAAAAGTATTTTACGGATAAATATTGAATGAAAAATATAGAAAATAAATAAATAACAAACCATTTCGTGCAAAACACAATCAAAACAGCTCTCTCTCTCTCTCTCTCTCTCTCTCTCTGTTGTTGTTCACTATTATTATATACAATATATTTATAAATACTCAGCACAATGGCTATAATACATACAAAGTATAATTAAATTTTATCATAATTATAAATATCTCCTGTCATATACAAAGTCTATAAGAATATTAGTATTCTCTGGTTTTAATGATCGCAAGCTTTAGGATCTAAGACAAGGCTTAATGTCGGGGATAAACAAACATTGTTTGGCGTATAATTCTAGTGTACCTTTGATTATATGCTCTACTTTTACTGTAGTTAATATAGACTACATAATACAGTGTATAATATATTACGTTATATAATATATTATATTAATATACAGCGAATGTTGAGATCACTTCCAAAAGCCCTCATCATATGGTCTGAGACTTACTGTCTGGCAGTAGTTGTTTAATATCATGTTTATAGACAAAGAGATCCAACAAAACAAACACAACACAAATAGGATAAAACATTTATCGATTCATAACATCCTAATTAAACACCATTTGAAATATTATACTATTTTCAGTCACTAATTACACGACTATAATATGCGATCTAATATCTTATTAAAAGACATTGTTTTATCGTTTGGCAAAAGTTATTATAATAAAAAATTGATAAAAATAGCCAATTATTCTCTTCTTAAATGTAGAATTGCTTTACTTTTTTATGTGTGCTTTCAATGAATAAAATATGCAATGAAGAGAGCGATCGGCAAAATAAATATCAAATTTCTGATCATTAGTGTGTCGTTGATGTGTAAGAAAGACAGAGAGATAGTAAGAAAAGTATACTTTATATAACACAACCGTATAAATAGATAGCAAATTGTGCTGTTTTTCAATTTGCTGTTAATTGAGTTTTACTCATTAATAATTCCACAGCTCTTTCTCTCTCCTCATCCCTCCCCTCCCACTCGCAGTTTCATTATTTTTAATAACTTTGAAATTAGATCCTAACCTCAGTGTCTTTACACCCTCTCTCTCTCTCTCTCTCTCTCTCTCTCTCATCAGTAGGTCTATCACATCATATTAGAGCACTTGTATTGAGCGAAACAGTGATATTGATTTTTATCCATACAATACATACACACAAACGACAACTGCTTTGGCATACAATGAGTCAAATAAATCCACGAGTCGTACAAATGTCTCTCCCTTTTCCGGATAGCGTCGAGTCCTTTGAAATTTATCTTTTTGTCCGACAAAAACTATATTTATATTAAATGTTTTGTTACCATAAATCTTGTGCTTCATTTTCTTTATTATTGTTTTTTGCTTTAATATTTATTTTTCAATATTATATTAAATAAAATAAAGTGTCAATTGTTAGCAACAATATACTTTATATAAAAATCTTTATGTTAAACATAAACAGAATCTAAAGAATCAAATGTTTTTATACGATATTCCAGAATATTCCGATATATTCTGACTAAATATACTGTATAGTTGTCGTGTAAAAACATGTCTTACTATTAATATTATATTAAACCAATTTCTATACACATTTATATTCACGACTTACTATGCAATACATGTTTTTAAATTAATACGTGTTTAGAGTATTCGCACCAAAAATTTCATTACATTAAATGCATTGGAAATTAAAGTATTATACGATATAATATAAATGAGAGTATTATATAATAAAACACACGCTTTAAAGCCACCCATGGATTTCAAGTGCATTATATTAATCAAATAATTGCTAAAAACAAAACACAAATTAAAGTTACGGCTAAATGTTTTTTGGGCATCAATTTATTAAATGTGATTTTCATTCAAATATATTACATTCAATACCTTTTATGAGCCGAGAAAATGGGAGTCCATTTGCGGGTTTTAACTGTTATTTTTTGTGTCGTTTAGTTTATTATGAAAATCTTAATGAAGAGTAAAGTCTTGTCGTCAGTTAATTAAGCGTTACTTATATTCATATTAAAAAGATTTATTAATAAATAAATTATGGTTATTTGTATTTTGTTAATGTATTCTCTAAACAGCAAAACAACGTTATGTTGCAATGTATTGAGTGGTTTGGACTGAATTATAGCCAAAGAGAGATGTACTGAGAAATCGATGGGAATTGGTTTTGATTGCATTTTTGGGACTTGTTTTCCACACAAACTTATTTCACATTAAAATGTCAACAAAATCGTTAACTAAATAAATGGCATTAAAAGTCTTTATCCGCAAAAATGTTTCACTCACTCATTCATTCAATTACAGCACAAGTTTTGTTAATTAAAATTTTTGGTCAAATTAATGAATCGATGAATGAATGGGTCAGACATTGGATTATTACTGTATTATTATTATAGCGTTGAATATTGTTATATACATTGAATTCAATACGAATTGTCTTTTCTATTCAAACAAAAATTGTATTAATGTTTCGTTTAGTGAATCAAACAAATGGCTCGCCTTTGGAGTCAAATTGCATTCACGGAGAGAATCGTGTAATTCATTAACAATATTGATATTGAATTCTATTAATAACAACTCATTTCGAGTAAAGGTTTTGGTTTTTGATGTATTAGTTGTTGCAAAGTATGTGCACAAAAATGTGGGGAACAGTATGTTTAAGGAAAACTTTATTAATAACTTTACTGTTCCTTCTATTCAGTTAATAGAGAGAGAGAGAGAGAGAGAGAGAGAGAGAGAGAGCATACGAAACATTTTTATGTCAAATCCCCGAATACAATACCAGTCACTCATATCGTTGTTCTTGTGCTCGACTTTATTATATATTCATAAAAGGAAAAAATATTTTGACAGTAATTATAGCATAAATTATACAAAAAATATAACAATAATAGTAATAATAATAACAATAATATAATGATAATCACAATAATGTTTACATCAAACGAAATATACAGAATATTCTGAAAGAAATCGCTAACGGATTGGCTTATAATTTATATAATACATAAAAATTCATAACATTAAAACCTAGATGTCTAACAATAGCTATGTTAACAATAATAATAATTTGAAATAATTTACAAACATTTATGTATACAAAACAACACGAATAATAAAATTGGTTCAAATAAATGCAAACAATCAGTTATAAAGGGATAGAATAGATGAGAGATGTGTTGTATTTGAGTGTATGTTGTAAAGGATGGTAGGGTTGTTGTGGTTGTTGTGGTAGTATTGGCCCAAATGGTACTGCAAACGCGATTCATAGGATAACACAACCGCAACAGCAGGTCTGTGGATAGTGGGGTGCGTGGACTCGCCTCTCCTGGCCGTACACCGAGTACTGGTCGGCCGCGCCTTTCCATAGGAAATGGATGGTTGCGATTGGAATGAGACGAACCCTATGTCTCTACATATATCACACATTATGGCATACATTTCCCGTTAACGGCACAGAGAAAAGAAATAGAGATAGACTTTTACAATGGCATGAAATACACAATACTATTGAGACATTCGCACAATAGAGAAAGGAGAACAGGAATGCATCTATTTTCTGATCAATTACTCAAATAGTCTGTTAATGATATACACAATCAATAGCTCTCAATAGCTGAGAGAGAGAGAGAGAGAGAGAGAGAGAGAGCATACGAAACATTTTTATGTCAAATCCCCGAATACAATACCAGTCACTCATATCGTTGTTCTTGTGCTCGACTTTATTATATATTCATAAAGAGAGAGAGAGAGAGAGAGAGAGAGAGAGAGAGATGGAAAAAACAAAACAAGAATATAAGCGAAAACATTAGGCGAATCTTAGTGTAAGGGGTAGTGAATGGATGGATAGGCTAATGAAATGATAGCATACGATACCTGCATCAACAATTTTTCACTCGATAAATAAGTATCCGAATGCAATTTGACGAGTTGTTCACTCGCCATGTTTATCGTATTGTCTGGGAAATGATTTATTGGCCACAACTGTATTACAAAAGGCGATGATTGGAGAGTAAAAGTGGATGAGAAGTATATAAATTTTAGATATTTATAGCTCACAATTGGTTTGTATGTTAGTTTGAATAGCAATTTAGCCCATCATTCCCTATCCCTACCCTCAGACCTGTTTATTTTTTCTCAAATTCCACACATATATACCCTTCAGAGAGAATTCAACAGATTTTTAAAATAGTTTTTTACATTCAAATTTCAAACATTAATTAATCATTTGTTTTTATAGCGACCTTAGTTTATAGAGCAGAAAGTAAATCTTTGCGTTTCATATCTGGGCTAAAGTAAACATTTATCTAATTTATACCAATAGATAAATACATAGATGTATATCAAACAAACATAGGGCACAGTTGGCTAACGTTCACATACCCGGTGCTGTTCCTCTTCAAACACCACTTCTCCCGTCACTGATTTGATTTGATGGTCCGCTACTGATGTCGAGGCCTTGTCTAACACATAGTCGTCGCAATGGTTTGTCCTAATAATATGAAAAGAGAGAGACATACAGAATATCTACAGAATATTTATACAGATATTATATACACGCTATTATATACACCCGAATGTGTCGTTCATATAATATTCACAAAACGATTAGTGAATTTTTTTAATATACACTATATTTTTAACTAGTATTTTTTGTAGTCAAATGATTACACTCTTAGGACGTGATGCGAATGATTTGTATTATCATAAATGTAGTCTAATATTGTCTCTTTTACTCTGCATTTAATTATTTATCATCACGAGTATTAGAGAGAGAGAGAGAGAGAGAGAGAGAGAGATCCATTGAATAAAAACAATAAAATAGTTATTCTGTAGCAAAACATGGGATTGAATACACAATACGTGAAGAACCGATACAAAATATATACGAATTTACATCATTTGTTGTACTTTCTCGCNGAGAGAGAGAGAGAGAGAGAGAGAGAGACTCGATGTCAAGAAGAAAATTAAGCTGAATTTTTAAAATGTTTTTAATTATTCAAATATGTATTCAATTATAATATTTGATTTGAAAAAACTAAATTAATCGCTAATAATGGTATGTATAGTGCGGTCATAATAATAAAAAATGTTAATGAAGTGAAAGTTTGTGCAATTCATTCAATCGTTGCTATCCTTTCTATGTGTCTCATAATGACTGATATTTTTGCATTCATTAACTGATGATGGGTTTTTAGCACTGGTATTGTCGATATACTCTACATAATAGGGCGGTCAAGTGATTCCGGCCGTGCGGTAAGTGATGCCATTTGTTAACTAAATGAGATAATTTAATTTAGTAAAATAGATTTAAGAGCCTCATATACTGCGCATCTGCAGCATTCCTTATTATAAACATAGGTCACGTCGTTTACTTAATAACATAAACATTCGGAATGGTCATATTACAGGTCAAACTATAAGAAATATAGAGATGGTCCCAATGTATGATTTATAGAGGGATAACACATCAATAAAATAAACCAAAAATTATTAAAATTGGATTGAAGGTTTTCACATGGCAGCTTCGCGAACTATGCCAATTTTGCATGTTATCCTATGGAGATGACAACTAATATTGTATTTTAATATAATTGATTATATTTTTGAAAACTACATTCAATGCTGAGAATGTTAGTAAAAGAAATTTTTGAAAAATTTCATTCCAAAGACAAAATATCTTAAGTTGAAATATTGAAAATATTGAGTTTTTTTGGGTTTTATGGCTAAAACTGAAAATTTCAATTTAAGATATTTTGTCTTTGGAATGAAATTTTTACGAATGAACAATTTATGTGCACAATTATTAAATAATTGACAAAACTTGACCATGTTCAATTTGATAATCAATTTCCGAAAGGTATTCCTGAGTGCAGTGGCGATCGTAAATCCAAACCATAGACTTATAATACTAGCCGTTAGACTCATATACTCTTCGACAGACATTTTTAACGATATCACGTATACAAGTGTTGGCTCCGGGGGTACACCAAATGCCAGGGTGTGACTAAAATTGACTTTGCTTATTAGTCTTTGCCTTTCTATTTGGTAATAATATTTCTCACAAACTTCTCGCTTCATACATTTAATACGGCATTTGTCATAAAAATTTATATTTAACCGGTCAGTAGTGAAGTATGTATTATTAATGTTAGCATGATTTGTTGGCTTATAAAATAAAAATTCCCCAGGGTACTGTGTTGAATTTATGACCAAATACTTGTTGAGAACGCATAAATTAGTGCACTCATCGTGTGTTTGCCCGCGTGGTAAACATGGTCTGATATTGCCCGACCGATAAATCACCTTGGTACGTCTGAACTTAAGAATTAATACTATGCCCGGTGTTATCACGATGGGTTGCATTGATGGTAATTTGCGAAAAATGTCGTAGATACATTCTCGTTGGGAATGAATATGAGCTAAAATAGTTGCATTATAATACTCCGTAGTATTTGTGATGATTACCACATTGAAACTGTCCTTGCCATCATCATGGTATTTTGATTTAACTGCAAACTTAGTTATGCAATATAAATGCCTATTAATTGAATTGCGATTGTAAGTGCATTTTGCATTCCAATAATTTGCCTTGTTAAATTTGCATGCTAATCTTGATTCATTTATCATGCTAA